TAGCCACCATAGCCTACCAAACCATCACATGGCCAAATAAGACAAGTATCTACTTGTAAATTGGACATTGTTGACTAGACTACTTATTTGTGTATTCACACTAGAAAAGTATTTGTGCTTAGACATTGGACTAATAGTATAAGAAGTCAAGCTTCAAGCTCATTTTCCAAGTAGTTTTAGTTCTCATTTCTTAACAAATTTCTACTTCTATTCTAGCAATATACTTCTTCATATTTTATCACAATAATTCTTTATAATTTATGAAAGTTTAAAATCTATTACAAATATTGAAATAAAAAGATACAAGAATATTTTTTTATTATCTTCCATATACTTATAAAATAATACGACTATTCCTTATTTTTTTTTAAAAAAAAAAACTACAAGTTTACAAAATATATTATTTATTAGATGTTCAAAGATAATTGAATCATTTTTAAGTCCAAAAGACATGACAATGTGTTTCAAATAATAATATCTATTGACAATAAAGGAATATATACTAAAAGTCCTTAAGATTAAAATTCTGAAAGTATCATTAACTATTGATAATTGTTGATTGAATTTTTTAATATATTATTTTAAGAATTGAAACAATATACAAATTAAGCTATTATTTTTATTATTTTCAAGTAGAGACTAAAATAACAAAAAGCAAGATTAAATTGCACACAAAAGAAAAGTAGAAAAAAAACTTTTAGTTATTAGTAGAACTAGTAGAATTCAAATTTAAAATATATATTGAATTAAAAAATACTATTATTAGACTATTTGAACTAAAAGTTAATAGATTGATAGCATCATTATATTTCACATGTTCTAAACTTTGGTCTCATAAACCAGTCAACATGGGGGATCATGCAAATCCAAGAGCTTCCTTAGTGCACTTTGCAAGGAATTTTACATTCTCAAATTTGACGAGTATTTAAAATTCCATTCTATCAACATGAAAAGTGCATCTTGCTAAAGACCAATTCATTCATGTATACGTTCTAGTTCAAAAATATTAACAACATGCAAAGTCCTTCTATTGTCTACTGAGGAGTTACTTGTAAGAGATCTCTGTCACTTAGATTGTCCACCAACCAAATTTCTTTCAGTTGGTTATGCAACCCTGAACTGAAGCAGTCCAGAGAGGAGGAGAGAGAAAAAGAAAAAAAAAAGAGAGAAAGAAAGAAAAAAAAAAAAACAGCAGTCAAAAGCAGTCGAGAGAGGAAAAAAATTTGGACCATTTCTCGATTTGTGCGTGTCATCCTTGCGCAGGGGCCATGATAATCTTCTCTGTATCGTTCCAATTTTATCAGATGTCTCCGAAGAGACATGGGTTGTAAGTCCTCCACCTTCCTATATACCCGCCTTCACACCCACCTCCATTCCATGTGGGTTATATCCCTCGCTCCATCCCTTTTCTCCCCCCCCCCCTCGAAACCCGGTCGCGTCCACTCGGCCAGCCACCCAGCTGGACCCACTCACTCACTGCACCCTTTCTGCTTGTGCTCTCCCGCTGCCGCTCCTTCGGGATATCCCCTTCTCCGCCACCGCAAGGACGCCGCCGTGGAAGAACCACACCATCACATCACATCACATCTACACCCATCGTCGCTAACCTGTCGCAACACGTCTGCTTCAATGGACATTCAATCGAAGCTTTGGAGTGGAGAACCGGGCGTCGTCCCATGCCTCATCCATCGCTGCCACCGCACCCCAGCCCCCCAGCCCCCCAGCACAGGACACTCACACACACGCAACGCTTCTGATTTCGACCTCGCAATCCCCTG